TGAATTTGGTGTTAAAGTGACACTAAACGCTGATTTAAAAAAGTAACATTCTATTCAAGTACTTATTCCAGAAAAGTACCTTATATTGCACTCAGCCTCCTCCAAATCTCTAAACTCCTTAACCTTTTTTTTTTTTTTGCTGCTGTGACAAGGTTTGGGGTTTGTTATGTTCATAGAGCAATGCACATTACCTCAACTAACGTGCACTGCTTGTTTCAAACAAATGGAAAGGAGGGTGAGGTTTTGGAGATCACAAGGGATATTACAATGAGGCAGAAAAACAATTTAATGAGAAATTGTTTACATGGCTATTAAGTAATTGATGGGTATGGTATATTTTTGAAAAATAAGAATATTGTTTGCTGTCACGCTAACCTCACCATACAGATGTTATTATATATGGTTTGCACTTTCCTAGTTTGTCAACTTTCCCTTATGCTTTCCCTGTAACAGCTTCCAATTCACTGACACTATGGATGCTTTGTTCCTCCTTTTTTATAGTGAGGCAATGGCCCAGTTAAGCCTGCTGGCAATAGTTCAAAGGCCATGCAGCACATTATGGTTTAAAAAGTTTTCCTGGGTAAATCTGCACATAAATTTGCAGGGACAAATCTCAAATCTGCAAGATTAGCCTCAAATCCATGGTAGCCATGAACACAAACCTCTTCCTGAAATAACACAGGACCTTTTAGGTTCTTTGGTATTCTTTTGAAAGAGAGTCTGATTACAGGCAAAGGAACCAATGGGCGGTAATGAGGCATAGGGGTCAACATGACTCACCAACGTTTTGACATCAGATTTGAGCTCTCACCCAAAGAACTGGAGCTGAATATGTTGTTTGGTCTTGTCTTAAACCAGGTGAACCCCCAGGGTGTGTTTATAGCTTTCATGCAGTACTGGCCTCCAATATGGTAGGATATTGGTATTTTTTATTTGCTCCACAGTGTACATCACAAAAGACATGAATGGGACTGTCTGCCTCAATGGGAAAAAATATCATGCTGGATATCTATACTGATATGAACTGGGTAATGCGTTTGGGCTCTTTCAGACAGGAAGGACCCATTTAGCGGATCAGCTTGCTCAGTAGGGGATCTCTCCTCTGATCCCCACTGAGCAAGCGGATGACAGCTCTGTGTCCCCTTCCCTGCTGCAGAGCAGACACAGAGCTGCTCAATAGGTGGTCGGATGAAAAAGGACCGCCTGTCCATTTTTATCCGATCCGATGGACGGAAGGGGAATTGGATCCCCATCTGTCCCTTTTTGGTGGATTGGATGTTGGCAGGTGTAAACGGACACACATCCATTTACACCCACTGCTCCATAGAGGAGAATAGAGGTTCCAATCGGGTCCACCTGAAAAATGGGCAGGAAGACCCGATTCGAATGTTCGAGTGAAAGAGCCCTTAGGAATTTAAGGATGCCCCATCGTTTGATGGAAATGAAAATGATCAACCTATAGAGGACTAAATTCAAAGACACCCCGAAAATCAAAGTGAGAAAATGGTGCAGCAGGCTAGTTGATTGTGCTGAAATTTCATTGCAGCAACTCAAAATGGTACTCAGTAGTTTGTATGGCCCCCCCACGTGCTTGTATGCATGCCTGACAATGTCGGGGCATGATCCTAATGAGACAACGGATGGTGTCCTGGGGTATTTCCTCCTAGATCAGGACCAGAGCATCACTGAGCTCCTGGACAGTCTGAGGTGCAACCTGGCAGCGTCGGATGGACCAAAACATTATATCTTAGAGGTGTTCTATTGGATTTAGGTCAGGCGAGTGTGAGGGTCATTCAATGGTATCAATTCCTTCTTCCTCCAGGAACTGCCTGCATACTCTCACCACATGAGGCTGGGCATTGTCATGCACCTGGAGGAACCCAGGACCCACTGCACCAGTGTAGGTTCTGACAATGGGTACAAGGATTTCATATTGATACCTAATGGCAGGCAGGGTATCATTGTCTAGCCTGTAGAGGTCTGTGTGTCCCTCCATGGATGTGCCTCCCCAAACCATCACTGACGCACCACCAAAACGATCATGCTGAACAATGTTACAGGCAGCATAATGTTCTCCACAACCCTTTCTTGTCTGTCACATGTGCTCAGGGTGAACCTTCTCTCATTTGTGAAAAGCACAGGGTGCCAGTGGCGGACCTGCCAATTCTGGTGTTTAGTGGCAAATGCCAATCGAGCTCTATGGTGCTGGGCAGTGAGCATAGGGCCCACTATAGGATGTTGGGCCCTCAGGCCACCCTCATGAAGTCTGTTTCTGTTTGTTTGGTAAGACACCTTAACACCAGCAGTTTGCTGAAGGTCATTTTGTAGGGCTCTGGTAGTGCTCATCCTGTTCCTCCTTGCACAAAGGAGCAGATACTGGTCCTGCTGATGGGTTAAGGACCTTCTACGGCCCTGTGCAGCTCTCCTAGAGTAACTGCCTGTCTCCTGGAATCTCCTCCATGCTCTTGAGACTGTGCTGGGAGACACAGCAAACCTTCTGGCAATGGTACGTATTGACGTGGAGGAGTTGGACTGCCTGTGCAATCTCTTTAGGGTCCAGGTATCACCCATGCTACCAGTAGTGAAACTGACCCTAGTCAAATGCAAAACTAGTGAAAAACAGTCAGAAAAGAGTAGTAGGTGAAAAAATGTCAGTGCCCTCCACCTGTAAAACCATTTCTGTTTTGGGGGTCGTCTCCTTGTTGCCCATCTAGTGCACCTGTTGATTTAATTAACACCAAAGCAGCTGAAACTGATTAACAACCTCTGCTACTTAACTGACCCGATCAATATCCCAGGAGTTTAATTGACTTGATGCTATACTCTGATTAAAGCGGTACTAAACAACAGCTGGAGAGAAAAAAATCCCCTGGAAGGGGAATTTTCCCAAACTATTGGCGCTATATAAATCCTGTATAATGATAATAATAATAATAATAATATCCAAGTTCAGGGATATACTACCTGACAGTGAAATTCAATATGCATATACGTGGATGATTTAGGGCTATCTTGTCCCTGCCTAGTATATTCATACATCATTTTAGAAATGAAAGACCCAGCCTTGCACAATATTGCTACACTCTATTTGATCTAATAGCCAGCTATAAAGCCCCATGGGCCACTGTATTTCAACAGTTCCTGCAGAATTCCATAATGGACCTATTTGTCTGTTTTCAATGTACAGTTGTGTTCAAAATAATAGCAGTGTGCTGAAAAAATTGACTAAAGCTCAAAATCCTTTTAATAGCTTTTATTTCCATACACACAAATGCATTGGGAACACTACACATTCTATTCCAAATCAAAACATGAAGAAAAATATATCAAATTTGTGTTGTTCCTCTAAAAAAAATGAAGAAAAGTGAATATTAGACTGTTCAAAAAAATAGCAGTGTTTGTATTCTTCTTTACAAACTCAAACATTCATTATATAAACTGAAAAATGTTTGAAGATTTTGCTTTCCTTTGAATTACTTAATTAATATTTAGTTGTATAACCACTGTTTCTGAGAACTGCTGTACATCTGTGTTTCATGGAGTCAACCAACTTCTGGCACCTGTGAACAGGTATTCCAGCCCAGGATGATTGGACTACATTCCACGGTTCTTTTCTATTTCTTGGTTTTGCCTCAGAAACTGCATTTTTGATGTCACCCCACAAGTTTTCTATTGGATTAAGATCCGGGGATTGGGCTGGCCACTCCATAACGTCAATCTTGTTGGTCTGGAACCAAGATGTTGCACGTTTACTGGTGTGTTTGGGGTCGTTGTCTTGTTAGAACACCCATTTCAAGGGCATTTCCTCTTCAGCATAAGGCAACATGACCTCTTCAAGTATTCTGATGTATTCAAACTGATCCATGATCCCTGGTATGCGATAAATAGGCCCAACACCGTAGTATGAGAAACATCCCCATATCATGATGCTCGCGCAACCATGCTTCACTGTCTTCACAGTGTACTGTGGCTTGAATTCAGTGTTTGGGGGTCGTCTGACAAACTGTCTCTGGCCACTAGACCCAAAAAGAACAATCTTACTTTCATCAGTCCACAAAATGTTGCGCCATTTCTCTTTAGGCCAGTCAATGTGCTCTTTGGCAAATTGTAACCTCTGCAGCACATGTCTTTTTTTCAACAGTGGGACTTTGCAGGGGCTTCTTGCAGATAGCTTGGCTTCACATAGGTGTCTTCTAATTGTAACAGTACTCACAGGTAACTTTAGACCTTCTTTGATCTTCCTGGAGCTGATTGTTGGCTGAGTCCTTGCCATTTTGGCTATTCTTCTATCCATTCGAATGGTAGTTTTTCGCTTTCTTCCACATCTTTCAGGTTTTGGTTGCCATTTTAAAGCATTTGCAATCATTTTAGCTCAGCGGCCTATCATTTTCTGCACTTCTTTATATGTTTTCCCCTCTCCAATTAACTTTTTAATCAAGGTACGCTGTTCTTCTGAACAATGTCTGGAACGACCCATTTTCCTCAGAATTTCAGAGAGAAATGCACTGTAACCAGCATGTACAACATTTGCTGCCTTCCTTCCCTAAATAAGGGCAATAATTGCCACCAGTTTTTCAAAGAATGAATGACCTCACTAATAGAACTCCACACTGCTATTATTTTGAACATGCCCCTTTCAATTAGTGATTCAATTACACAGAATCAGCAGCATGTATGTCATTACTGTTGGGTCTGTTGGATTTCTATTACTCTACTACACCTGCTAGTAAATTATTTGCCATGTAGAAATACAATTTCTACCAAAAACAGTGATTGATCAGGTTAGCGATGTCTGACTGCTATTATTTTGAACACAACTGTACATGATAGCTGCCACTTAAAGAGGATACTTGAGGGGGTATCTCCACAGCCCAGCTGGATGTGATACTGTCTGAAGCTGCACAATTTAAAGTCCTGTGTGCCAAAGAGACCAATTGGATATTAAGCTTAATATGATGGCCCTGGACAGTCTCAGTGAGGAGATAGATGTTAGTACTATTCTTTAGACCAGGCCTTGAAATTTCCACTCGCCTGCTCGCCAGTGGCGAGTGGAAATTATGGTGGGGGCGAGTGTGTCCCCCCAGGGCCATCTTGCTGAGCAGGCTCGGAGCTCAGGCCGGATCTGTCATTGGCACTGGGAGCCGTCAGACTGCTCAATAGCTGAGCGCAGTGAAAGCAAAGGAAGCAGTGTGTGCTGTGCTCTCTACTTCCCCCTAGAGTGCAGTACCCGGCTCTGTGAGTGAACAACAAAGTACTGCACCTTTTTATAGGGGGGGTGTGTGTGTGTGTGTGTTGCCTACCTAATTTCAGCTTGCTATGGTCACATGGTCCTCTATGTCAGCCAGTGGTGGCTTCAGGGGAGAGGAGAGAGCACTTTACATGTCTGTGTATTCATGTACATGTGTCTGTGTGTATGTACATGTGTGTATCTGTACATGTGTCTGCGTGTATGTACATGTATGTGTGTGTGTGTACTGGTGTCTGTGTGCATGTACATGTGTGCGTGTTTGTGTGTATTTACGTACATGTGTATGTATGTACATGTGTCTGTGTGTATGTACATGTGTCTGTGTATTTCTGTAGTGTATATACTGTACATGTATCTGTGTGTATGCGTGTCTGTACGTGCCTATGTGTGTATACATGTGTCTGTATGTGTGTGTGTGTACATGTGTCTCTGTGCGTGTGTGTACATGTTTCTGTGTGTGGATGTGTGTGTGTATGTAGATAGCTGTGTGTGTGTGTACAGGTGTCTCTGTGTGTGTTTGTTGGTGGCGAGTAACTCTTAAGGCCTGGCTAGTAGCTCAGGACTTGAAATTTTAAGCCCTGCTTTAGACTCATTAGCCTCCTTTTTATTTTTCATATTTTTTTGACAGCAAAAGAGGATTCTTGTAGCCTGACCTCTACTTCCACTTCTGAGCTTCTATGGTGGCATTTATTATTACCTTCCAAAGGACAGTTGCTATAAACATTCTTTACATAATCATTTTTGTTATTTCCATAAGCTGTACTATTCCATATCCATACCTTTTGAGGATATCTGTCATGACTATCCTTCATATTACCTCTATTGTTATTTACATAAGTTGTTCCATCCCACATCATAATGGCTGTTACTATTCCAACAGTCTAGAAATGCTAGTTTATAATGCATGGAATCCAGTTATTTATTGTCCTATTTGTCTGCCTCTTCATCTCCCTTTTCTATTTATGTCCTCCCCCCTCTGTATCCTGTACTCAATATCAATAATCTAACTTAACATCAGTCATCAATTTATCCATCCATTTATGTATAATTATCATTATGATCATCATCAATATGGTTTAATTATGCTTTTTACCAATATGATTTAAACAACTTCATTAGAATATTTGATGATGAAAATAAAAACCTCTTTTTTCTTTGTTTAGTACTATCCATCAGTTAAATTGATTGTCCATGAATCCACTTAATCAATTAATTATTTGTTTTATTACTACTTTTAATTAATATAATGTATTTCATTGTATGATATGAATTACCCCATTTCCATCATTGTTAGGAATATAACTATCAGCTCCAATATACTATTATATGTATAATTTATTTATTTTTAATATTTAATTTTTAAAACCTTTTTAAAAAATTTTAAGATATCGAGGTCTGCTATAAAAAAATACCAATTTGTAGGGTATTTTTTGCCCTACCAACTCATCTATCTTCCAAAGTATTAATCTTTTTGAAAATATTAATTGTACATTTTGAGATGAGCCTTGTATTCATTACTATTGTCATTATACAGCTATGCAAAATGACAGATAAAGACAACTGACTTATTTACATATTCTGTCCATTTTTAAAAACTTTTTTGTTCCTGTATAGAGATATAAAATTATCCTTAATAAGGATATATGCAGCATCTATGTGTTGATGGCTCTGTTTAGCTTACACAGCCCCTGTGCTAAGCAGCTTCATGTCACCTTTGCTACACCTTGGCGTGCTGTGTTTAGACTACCTTGGACCTTCCCCCTTTAAAATACACCTAACGCAGTGGGTAGCCCTTAATAGACAGGCTGACGAAGAAGCTGTCAAGCTTCAACACGCGTTTCTGTGTAATGTACATGTGCTACACCTAATGATGTTGGGCTTCCTTACTTCACGTTTTGAACACCAGCTTTGGCTTTTCCTGCAGACCAGTGTTAGCGGCTTCTACTATCCCTGCACACTCCATCCCCATGACAAAGGCCAAGGCTGGGGCTTCAAATCATTGCTCTGCCACTTCTGATTCTTTGACAACCCAGTTTGTATAACGCCCAGCGCATGCTGCTTTTGTAAGTGCATTTTTAACCATTTATTAAAAATTAGATATGATTTTAATGCTACACTATGGGGTTTGCGCTTGTGTGTTTCTCCCTTGCCTTTTCACAGTTGCTGGATCATGAGTACCTCTTAGGTTATTAGAATAGCTACCTATTAATTGACACTTTGGGTTACCCACCCAATGGTTTTAAGGGTGTGTGGTGCAACACATATCCATATCAATATTGTGCCATTCATTGTTGCTACAGATTTTTTTTTCTTCTTTTTTAACATCTTGTCATTGTACAGATAATCTATTTAGAGGAGGGTTCTTTAACTGTTGTAATGAGCTGTGGTTTGCTTGGGCTATACTAGCTCTTTCTGTTCATGTATATTTAACTGCTGTGGGAAGGCACAAGCTTATCTCCCCCTTTTCTTGCCCACCATGCTACATGCATGGATAGGTGTTTGGTGTAGATTTTAGGGGGGGGGGCACCATGCATCTTTTTGTTTTATTTTGCATGGGATCCCTCCTCAAAATCAATACTAGACCCTTATCTTGGGTTTTGTTTTCAACATACTATCATAAATTCTTAATTGCACAATATTGGGTAGAATAAGTAGTCACAAAGGGGCAATTAAAAGAAAAAGCATCCACATCCTCTTTCTGTTTCGACAATAACATATTAGTTCTGTCCAATTTATCCACCTCTGATATGACTCCATCCAATTCGACCGGATTATAACCCTTAACCTCCAAACGTTGCTTTAAAAGAATGGCTTCTTTTAAGCAATCATCACGAAAAGTGCAATTTCGCCTAAGTCTATAAAATTTACTTTTGTGTCCGACCGTAACCAAGATGGATGGTGACAACTATGAACATCTATAAAGCCATTACAGTCAGTTTCTTTGAAATAAGTAGAAGTAACTAGATTACCTTCTACAACCCTAATATTCAAATCCAAGAAATGGATATTCTCGCTACTCGCCTCAACTTGAAGAGCTACACCCCTATCATTAATGTTGAGGGCATTGATAAACTTATCAAGAGAGTTATGGTCACCCTTCCAAAGGAGTAGGATATCGTCAATGTATCTTTTCTATCCTTATAGTTAAGTTTTAGTTCTATTCTTAAGGGATTCTAGTTCAGCTTCAAATTTTATATCCTTATAGGATATAAACTTTGAAGCTGGGCTAGAATCCCTTAAGAATAGAAATTACATTGTGGTTCACCCTGCAGATAAGGGCGGAGGCATTGTCATTTTAGATAGAAAAGCCTATTATGGGAAAATGAATTGCATTTTATAAGATACTAACACCTATCTTCCATTATCCGGCAACCTACCTTCACTTACAAGAAAGTGTTACAGGGTATTGTAAATGAGGGTTTTCAAAATAAAATATTAAATAAGAAGGAAAGAGCTTTCTTGATTCTAGCAGCCCTCGTGTGCCTGTTGTAATGTATTATTTGCCTAAGGTACACAACGATTCATTGAATCCTCCAGGACGTCCCATTATTAGTGGAATTGATTCTGTTACTGCTAAAGTGGGCTGCTATATTGACTCATTTTTACAGCCACTGGTTACTCGAACAACTTCTTATCTGAAAGATACCACACAAGTGATTAATACACTAAATTCAGTGGATTGAAAAAATGGATATTTATTGGCCACAGCAGATGTGACTTCACTGTATAACATTATATCACATCAGCATGGAAGGGAGGCAGTAGAACATTCCTTACATAGAGATAAAAGATTTACCAAAGATACAACAAAAATTTGTTTTGCAACCTGGATTTTGCCATGAGTCACAATTATTGTTGGTTTAAGAGAATCTACTATTTACAGAAGCGCAGAGTGGCTATGGGCTCGAAATTTGCGCCCAGTATGGCCAATCTCTTCATGGCCGAGTGGGTGGAGGACGTCATCTATGGACAAAACAGACCTGAATTGGTGCTTTGGAAAAAATACATTGATGACATCGTCCTCCTTTTTGGAAGGGTGACCATAGCTCTCTTGATAAGTTTATCAATGTATGGGTATAGTTCTTCAATTTGAGGCGAGTATAGACTTAGGAGAAATTGTACTTTTCGTGATGATTACTTAAACAAAGCCATTCTTTTAAAGCAAAGTTTGGAAGATAAGGGTTATAATCCAGTTGAATTGGATGGAGTCATATCAGAGGTGGATAAATTGGACAGCACTAATATGTTATTGCCAAAACAGAAAGAGGATGTTATGCTTTTTCTTCCAATTGCCCCTTTGTGACTACTTACACCAACATAAATTGTTATGGTTTACCATAAAAACAACACCCATGAAGCCTCCTGCATCCTAGCAACCAATGACATCATCAGTTGCTAGGACACAGGTAGCCAGCCCACATAGCATCCTCGGTTGCTGGGAGACAGGGGGCTGCTTGTGTCCTGGAAACCTAAGACAGTTGTGGCCTGCACAGGAGGAAGTCGTCATTTATCAGAGACAGTTATACTGCCACTAAATATATGACTTCCATCTGCAGGCAGAGATTAACTACAGCGGACAAACCCTATTCAATTTACTAATTCAAACTGTGAACACCCAAAGTTCATGTGAACCCTAGGCATCTGTGAACGTGAACCCCATTCTTACTAATGTCAGCAGAGCTCTATGCATCATTTATGATGGAGAACAGAAGAAGATGAGGAGCATGCATGTCATGTGTCCAGCCAGAAGACATCTAAATAAAGGTATGTACTGTACAGAAAGACATTATCAAAAATACATGTGGGGAGCCCCCAGGAGAAAGGGGAAAGGGAGTTACATGCGATTTGGGATTTAATTTGTGTTTTGTTAAGCACCTGTTTTTTCTTTACAAATACTTTAGTTTTGTGAACCCAGTATGAGTAAACTATTATGTAATTTTGAACTGATACATTTCAAAAAGTGTTCTAAATCTGATTTATGTTACAGAAACTAGTCCTTGGCAATACAGATGAAATTCTTTCAAGCATGTGAGAGATAAATAAAATAATTTTTATCAGATGTTTTCAATTTGGTCTGATTGGACTTAAGACACATGCTTGTCTATTTAGCCAAGTTTCATAACAGAGCCACTTTAGCAATGTTAACCTTTTACTTGATGCAAAGTTCATGCATTCAGCAAACTATTATTAATGACCCATACAAATCCAGTTTCTATGGTTTTCTTTCAGCACAGAACAGAAAGTTTCATTCATTTGCTCTGCCTGCAATGTCTGTCCAATGCTGTACACTGTAATTAATACTTAACAGATCCACATGAAAAGGGCTTAATATTCCCTGTGTCACATTATTCTGTGCTGCATAGGAAAGTCATTTTCTTTGTAAATGTTAAGAGCTCCCTTTTCTAAAAAGCCGTTTAGCTATAATAGTATGATGGGAGGATACACATGGCAAACTTCCCAGTTCTTGGAGCACTCAGAAGG